TGTTATCACTAATCATCCAAAAAAAAAAAAAGGCAACCAAAAAGAGAATGAATCCCAAATGTCTTTTACATTTTGTCAAAACTTTTGTTGTGAATAGTGGGCATAAGGATATAGAATTTTGAACAAATTTTCAGGTATTGAATTTCTTAGTTACCAAATTATTACATAGATACTTGACATTAATTTCAGAGCCAAAAGGCGAAGAAAAAAAGTGCAGAAACTCGCAAAGTTGGATGATCGGTTGACCACAAAAATCAACTTCGGCCATGTTAGCTAAACGAAGCGATGGGATTCTAGTAAAAAAAATAAAATGCACAATTTCGATTTTACCATTTTAGTTGACATTACAAAATAGAGAAATTCTAACACCCTTTTAAGAATCACACCTTCTGCATAAATTCTCCGTTGGATGGTGAAATAATTATTTTGGACCCTTATATTATTTTGAAATAATTATTTAAAATTGTAACAACGATCGACATTGAAAAATAGAAATTGGGAAAATGATTCCTTGAAGAGACCATAGAATTTTTCAACAAACTATATAAATATGTGTTTGAGGAATGATAGTAGGCAAGATTGAAAATTGAGCCCGTTTAATATGGCATAACATCTGAAAATAATTACTCCATAGAGAAGGATCGATGAACTACTAATATAACTACTTCACCTAAAATGTTTTGCCTCCACCACTGCTAAAGCTTGTATTGTAAACCCAATTATGCCAATCAATGATATAGCAAAACAATTGTTCAAAAAAGAAAAAAAAAAAAGATTCAATAGCCCTTGAACCATTCAGATGTAAAGGTTCCAGAAACTTGTACTGTAAGATTGAAGAATGCTCATAATCATATTGTGCACGAATAAATTTTATACGGTGATGATGGGATTGCTTTATCCTTTTGCCTCTACTTTTTTTTTTTTTTCACTCTGGCAAACCGATCCTGCGACATTTGTACTTAATGATATTTCATATCAGTTTCAAGAAAAAACGTGTTGCTGCATGTTATTTCACATCATTCCGTAATTTGGTTTGAGGGATTCCTCATTCCATGATCCATCTTCTTCTACACCTCCCTACAGTTGATGCATTTATTGTTGAGTGTTCTCCTAATAGATCCCCAACCAAAAAGCATGTCGCAGTTTTATGGTTAGAAGTCATTCTGTCGATTAGCATTTTATTGATAGAATGTTTTTATTTGCCTGTCTGTGAATCTCTTATTTTTTTTAGGCTTTAGCATAGTTAACTCAATATGCTACACACACACACATACATGTGTTTGTGTCAAACTCTCATTCCATGTTCTTTTGTGGAATAAGCTTCATATGTTCAAAATGATAGAGTTGGTGTCATGTTTTCTTGTCAATTCCTCTCTTGGGACATCTATCCATCCACAAGATTTCTCTAGTGCGTCTTATCATTCCATGCGGTTGACCGGTTATTGCACGGAGCGAGATTTATCCAATATGCACTCTTGAGTAGTGACGGGGGATTTTCTTGTCAACAAGAAAATAAGTTCCATAATGTTGTATCTAGAATCAATCCTGTTCATCTTTCATAGTGACACTCAATATGTACACTCATGGATTAAAGAAATGAAAGATGAAAGTAAAGGAAACTTGGCACACACTTGAACAGGTACACATGGCGATCCCTAATCGATCAATCATGCTATGGCATGTGATCAACGAAATTAAGCAGTAGAAATGAGAAAGAGATTACGTACTCAATTTAACTACAATTATTTTGCCTACAAGAAGGAACCATCTAGATATGGTCAATCAGTAATTCGACTTTAAAAGTGTTTTGATACAAGAAATTTTTTTTTTCCCGTTCCTTTTTGGGTTTGAAAATCCAGGAACAAAACTTGGTGCGTAGGAACAGTGATCTGCATTCTAGTATTGTCCACCTCAATTTGACTTTTCTGGGTTTGAGGTGTGACAACTAACACTCCAAGTGCTTCTATTCGTTGCCGTGAGCTACAGCAATTTGTCCTTTTAGTTGGAGGTGTGACGATTGGATGTACCATTTTGTCCTTATTGAATGGCTTCACTTTGACGGACGAAGCAGTAGCACTAAAGCTGGCTGTGAGCAAAGCAACCACTTTGCAACTAAGGAAAGTGCAATTCCAAGTAACTCCTCAACCACATCCGAACTCAGAAGGCAAGTGATATTAGAGTAGTTACGCTGGTGGAAGATATTGTTCAATTGAAAGAGTTGTCTCATATGTGCTCCTTTTGTCTAGTTAATAGTGATAAGAATCATCTAAACTCTAGGATTAGCATATATGCCTTAGGCATCACAATTGATGAGGAACTCTTGTTTCCTCGGTATCAAGCTCACTAATTTGTAAAATTAACTCGAGCCTTTGCTCGTACTTGTATATGTTTTGGAAGTAATATAATCAAACATCGTTTCGAAAAAAAAAAAGAATGGCTTCACTTTCACAAAAAATAATAATAATAATAATAATGGCTTCACAGAACCATCTATTGCATCAGAAATCAGTCACTTGTCACCATTGGTGCATTGTCATTTGGCACACCGTCCATCAGTGTAACACGTTAGCTACATCCTTCAGCAATTTTGTCAAAAACCATAAGATGTAATTCACTTTTAACATAAATTAAATATAGAATAAATTTTTATGAATTCCATATGTAACGTTAAAAATGATGTACATATGATGATATGAACCTTACACTCTTTTTGATCAATCTTTGACGTTAACTATTCAAGACCGGTCATTCTCACTGACGACCGTTCTTGCTCCGCGTCTTGATGGGCAGCAAGTTTCAGTCTCTTGTCAAGGACATGACTACCGTGTAATGTTGCACTGCCACATTCTTCTGAGAAGAGAAAGCAATCATAGGACTTCTTGTTTTAGGGTAGCAATTAGAGGCTTGCAGTAGCTGGTAAACTACTTTGCAAAGAATAATTATGTCATAGGTGTTTCTTTGCATCAATTAGGATCCAAAATTGAGTGTCGACCATCAATTGGAGTTTGGAAGATACGGATCAATGTTAATTGTTGTTCCATTATGTGCAACCAAGTGGACAACTACTATAAAATAAAATATATATATTGCAAACGAATGAGATTGATCATCAAGCTTGTTTGGCCATGGTAACATCATGATCTCCAATGCACGCGTGGGACTTAAATTTTAATATTTCTTAGTGCATTGCCTTATTCTCATATCATAATTGAGAAAGTCGGCACCATTTTTTTAATGGAGAAAAGGCTAAATTCTTGGATGTTATTGCATTAATATTATATGAAATGTGAGCCCTTTTCTTATCTGATTCTAATATTCAGGACAAATATTATATGGTATATGATTCGATTAGACACTTATATTATGGTAACTTGTATCTTCATTTTCAATGATTAGAGCTGACTATTACAAAAGCATAAGAAAATATTCGTAGTTATCATTGTTTCCATATTTGTGGCTTCTTTACTGCCAATTTGAGGGTGCCTTGGCGATTATGTATGTAGTCAATCGCAGACGGAATCCTCTATCCATTATGTTTGTCCACTTTCCTATCTAATAGAAAATTACGTAGTTCCACTTACTAATACTGCTAATGTGGCACATAATATTGGATGCATATTTAGGGAATGTTTGATAAATGAGTTTCAAATTCAATTTTAATATGTACGACCTACTTTTTGAATCAACATGACCGCATGTAACTGCAACTCTAACAAGTTCAAGGATTCGTCCTCAAATGTTTGCCTAATCTCATCTGAATCATGCGGTGTGGAATTTCAAAGTAGAAGACTATGAGTACCATTGGGCATAAACAAACATCATTTATGGATATAATTGAATTTAAAACCCATTTACCAAATACCCCCTAAATATGCATTCAATAATATGTGCTACATCAGCAGTATTAGTATGTGAAACTACGTGTAGTTTTATATTAGACAAGAAAGTAAACAGATATAATGGACAGAAGATCCTATCTGAGTCAGTCGACACCTTTCAGAAATTTGGGTGGGATGTTTTTAAGTTCCATAATGATTTAAGCTTTCGATCTGGTATATAAGATAAGGAATGTCAAAACTTTTAATACCTTGTACATGCAGAACAAGTCTGCTTATATAGATGTTGTTTTTTTCTTTTTGAAGTTTTCATATAGAAAGAAGGTAGGATTCAGGAGCAGAGAAAATCAAGTTGGTTTTGAACAAATATGTGATGTTAACACAAAATATACCAATTTTTTCCTTATGAAACATTAGAAATATAGGGGATGAAGTGGACAAAAAATCATTGTTCTCCACAAATTGACTGCATATATAGGTTCAATGTAGCTACCCTCTTCTGCTGGTTGAATGGCTGCTGGATACATTGGCAAAGTCCTCCCTTTCTATATGCTTTATTGTACAAAAGGACTTGGAATTCTTGAGGGGATACGAATCTGTTCCAAAATCCAAGAAGGTGAGCAGTACTGGTTTTGGGTGCACCCACCAAACCAATTGGCCACGCAGAAAGGAAAGCAAAGATTGAACAGGAAAAGTGAGAATCTTCTTCTTCTTTGACTTGAAAAAAAAATGATAATTAATCACAGCAAAAGGCATTATTATTCACAAATGCGCCACGAACTTCAGTAATTGTCACTTGTCATGCAAAGTCTTTCTTAACAGTAGCCATCAATTATAAGAAAGGCATTTGTGACCTGACCTAAGGAGTTTCTTTAGCGGCAACTAGACAGTGGAAATGTGTGTTTTCCCCCCTTTTTTGGGATGTGCCTAATTTCCAAATTTAATTATTTGAACTGCTAAAATTTGATGTCCTTCTTAAACAACTGAGTGTACTAATCATGATTATGCACTATCAGAATTAATTAATTGTCATATCAAAGTAACAAAATGAGATGCGAAACCACACTATTATATCTATGGCTAAAATGAGATGAGGGACAATTGTATATAAAGACACCTTTTCCCTGCATCATCATGTTCGTTTTTATTTCTTTCTGTTTTCTTGTTTGGTCAAATGGAGGCTGAAGCTGGTTAATTACATAAGGTCATGACTGAGCACAATCATTAACCCTATTATGATTCTCGTTAGGCAAGAATCAAGCCTAATGTGGCTCGATTTAGACCACTGTCCCTAGCTGCATAACATGGTCCCTATAAAATACTATGTACATTGTGGTAAAGTAACCAAACAATACATGGATATTGACCATTGAGCGACAAGTTTCTTTCAGAATCAAGATTTCTTAGTGCTTTTTTTTTTTTTTTTGTTTTCTGGGGAGACGTCCGACATGGGCAAGTTCAAGAAGGTTTGCGTCTTCTGCGGAAGTAATTCAGGGTACAGAAAGATATTCAGCGATGCAGCCCTTGATCTTGGAAAAGAATTGGTTTGTTGCCTCTCTCTCTCTCTCCTCCCTTGCTCTTTTTTTGTTTCTGCTCTTTTACAAAGATATATGGATAGAGGAGCTGGCTTTGGTTTAGTCATTCAACATCAACTGATGGAGATGGTACAAAATAGGTGCAAAGAAAGGTAGACCTAATCTACGGAGGAGGGAGCATTGGTCTGATGGGATTGGTTTCCCAAACAGTATATGATGGTGGATGCAATGTTCTAGGGTATACATGCCAAATTTACTCAATTCATTCAGAGTTTAAACTTGAATCAAATCAATTGTATTTGTCATGGACTATTTAACTTCTTTGATACAACTCGTCAATACTAACTCTGCCTTTATGTCTCCTTTGTGTCTATTCTTTCTCCATATATATATAAAGAGTGATTCCAAAGGCTCTCGTTTCGGTAGAGGTATGTATGTATATCTGATTTCATTGCCATGCCAAGTCTCTCCAACCCTTTCCCACCTCCCTATATATATATATACACCTCCATCTCTTGGGTTTTCTTGGAGATAATTGGTAAGCAATTGATTAATGAGGCATGATGAGCAGATATCAGGCGAGGCAGTTGGAGAAGTGACCATAGTTTCTGACATGCATGAAAGGAAAGCTGAAATGGCTCGTAGGGCCGATGCTTTCATAGCTCTTCCTGGTATTCATCTTTCATCCTCATCCCACTTCCTGTTAATGTTTCATGCTCATCCCAATTTTTTTTTTTAAAAAAATTTTCAATATTTTTCAAGCCCTTTTCTTTACGAAAAAGTTAAACGGTTTGCGATTGAGGGTGTCATATCTAATTCCCGTTATGATCCTAAATTGATTGAGAATTTCGGAATTTTTTTTTGAACGAGTGAATTGATCAAACTTATTTGTTAACTTAACTAGCTTGGAACAATAAAAAAAAAAAGAAAAAAAACCTACTTTATAAGCATATGCATATGCTATATAGTATTAATAACTTGATAAAAAAAAATTGCTGATTTTCTGTTTTGGGTGATACTAATGAAGGAGGGTACGGAACAATGGAGGAGCTGCTTGAGATAATATCATGGTCGCAGCTTGGAATTCATGATAAACCGGTACGCATGTTTCATGTTCCAACACTTTGGCATCATTCTTGAGGGCCATTTTGAGCTAATATTTCTGCTAATCTTTCATTTGAGATTAATGATTAATTGGACCACATCACTTTATAATCCAACCTACCCTCCAATGCATAGAAAAATTGGAGAAAATGCATTTGATAAACGTAGAATGTCTCTATATATGGGAAGGAGGAATATAGAGTAATTCCATTCTAATAGTGTCAATTTGCTATTTTTGTCTTTTAGGACTTTTTTAGTGATTCATTTTGATGCTTATTATTTACAACTAACAGCTTCTATAGCCTTTTTTTTTTAAAAAAAAAAAAGAAAGGGAATAACTTCTATGACATTTAAATTAATCTTCATTGCTTCCAACTTCCTTTTATTAGAACAAAACAATGAACAATTTCTCCCAAGAGTCAAAAAAAAAAAATCAAAGGTCAAAATTTTAGTTTAAGATTCATATTTGGCTTTTTTCTAATGTTTTGTAGAATTTTGTAAATAATGTTTGCTTGGTGTTGCCGGCTATATAATATAACTCTAGGGCCTTATGGAGGATTAATGCTTAAAATGATGTAACTTGTCAAGTTGAATGGATATTTCAAGTTTTAGCTCCTTAGTTCTTTAACTAGAGTAATTAACAAAGTTTGTAATGCTTTAGAAATAGTGCATCAATTCTTCATTCCAACCTGGTTAACACTCTTCAATTATCAAATTCCCACTTTGATCTTTGAATTTCAAAATTGGACACTTTAGTCTATTAACTATAAAATCCATTCCACTTAAGTAAGACCTTTGGGGAAGTGGGATAGATTTTATACTTAAGTCAAAATATTTTAGGGACTAAAGTGAGATAACTTTTATAATTTTGGGACTAAAATTGGATATGTTACAACAAAAATGGTCTTTCCTCACATTCCTATAAGGACACTTGCTGGTTTGTGTCATTATAGCACTCCTATCATGATACTTATTACCAACTCAATAATATATACTCTAATTTTTTTTAATTTAATCAGATATAAAAATAATAATGTGCCTTTAGACTACCTAACATGACACTTAAGAAAATGTGAGATGTACAAAAAAAAAAAAGAAAGACACAAAACGGCATCGTTTGATTTTGGCAGAAGATTCATTTGCTTAAAATACTCAAAATTTTCATTCTGCCGGCCAAAACACTTAGTCAAAACACTTGCTCAAAATTTTCATTTTCCGGCTCCACCATTTCCAGCCCCCCTTCCCCCTCTCTCTGTCTCTGTTGTTAGATTCCAACATAGTTGGTGGGAAAAATGGGTAGCAGCCAGGCAGCAGTTTCGTTCTGACGTAGTTGGTTTGGGTATCGGCGCCACCGTCCTCAACTCCTCCCTCTACATTGTCGACGGAGGGCAGCGGGCTGTCCTCTTCGACCGGTTCCACGGTGTCATCGATGACACCATTGGAGAGGGTACTCACTTCCTCATCCCCTGGCTCCAGAAGCCCTTCATCTTTGACATCCGTACCCGTCCCCACACGATTCCGATTACGATTAGCCCCACCTTCATCTTCATCATTAGGATCTTCCAAGCATCGGAGCCTGTGATTGGAGTTCCGATTTCCATAAAGCTTCAACCGTGGCTCCCTCAGGCAGCTGACGGCAGCATCAGCAACAAAATCTCTCTCGAAGGAAACCCACTTCCGGGTCATCATCTTCTTCTTCTTCGAATTCGGCTCAACAAATTTCTCCCCCGACTCGAATAGTTTATCGAGAATCGTCTTCCAAGTCCGATCTCAGTTTGCTCTTTTGGCAAACTACCTGGTTCATTGGCTTACTTTTACTAATGGCAATCTCGTTTTTCGGTCTCGCCATTTTCCTTTTTCTTACCCTTGACTCCGATTTCACCTCTTCCCCCGTCTCTGCAGCTTCCGAAGGCGTCTAGGTAAACCGAAAGCCCACTTACTACTTCAAATTTGTGGTTTTTGTGTTCCTGTAGTTGCACAGATATGCGGTGCATCTTTGTGTGTGTGCTTTTCCCCCTATTTGTTGAAACTGTACGCGAAAAAGTTGTTTTATAGTTATTTTTGGTTCAAAATTTTGACCAAGTTTGTGCTATTATAGGCATGTGATGGTTATAAATTCTAGCGCTTCAGAGGTTTCTAAGCTAAAAGAGGACAGGGAAAGAGGAAATGGAGTTGTTTGTGTAGAATTAGTAATAGCCTTCGACATGTTTGATGAAATGCCTCGATAATCTTTGTTAAAAATCTAGCTGGGTGTCAGTTAAAAATTGCAATTTGGATTTTTTAAAGAGCTGATTTATGAATTAAATTTGATTTTTTTCCTGTTTTATAGTTTGACGTTTCTGTTGTGTGGCGAAAATAAAAAATGGTGTATGATGCTTTGAGTTCTAATTGTTGTATAATGGGGCTTTGTACTAAGTCATTCTTATTTTGTTCGGCATCTGTGATTTTGATAGATTACTTATGGGTCAGTGATCAAGTTGATGCATGAGAGAACAAAGTTTAGGCTGCATTCGCATGATGTACCATATGGCTCTGGTAGTGGGCAGCAGTCCGTCACTGGTTTTCCCAACGTTGATGACTCAAACAGCTATTGGGTATGTTTCTTTTTCTAGTATCTATTTTTTTCTAGATCATCATAATTTTCTAAGGTTAGGTATGATTAAGCTTGGCTTGCAGATTGTTAGACCTGTATCAGATACCAATGCCCAACAAGGGGATACAATCAAAGGTGGTACCATCATCAGGCTGCAACACATGAGGACCAGAAAATGGTTACATAGCCACTTGCTAAATGTAAGTCTTACTATGATGCGTATTGCTGTTATGCCGTATGCAATTAATCTTCTTATCAGTAAATAGCATGTAATGGGTAAAAACCACTATGCCTTATGAACTTGTGTTGATAGTTACTAGGCCACTCACAGCCTGTCTATCAGCTTCTAAAACCGTGATACTTCTCTTTCTTGTGACAGATTCATAACTGATTCTACAATAATGTACTTCCTTGGTTCCGGGTAAGCATTCTGGTTTGTGTTTTCTTGCTAGTGCTCAACATTTGTGTAAATGACAGTAGATTATTAGAAGAAAAATTTCTTTCCTGATAGGGTCCTTGAGACTATTTGCATTAAAAACCATGAAAACATTATTGATTGTTCCGTATATACTCCTTTATCTTTCCATTTCCTTGGTTCTGCAGTCTTTTGTTGTCAAAATCATGCTTATACCTTGTTCTTCCTCTGTTTTACAGTAGCATTTGATAGAAGAACTTTCAGCCTACAAGATACAAGTGAGCTGTTGAGAGTCGATTGACTTTCTTGATGTGTAATTCATGTCGTGTAAATGAACGCTAGTTACGCTTTTAGCTCCTTCTCATTAGCTTACCATTTGTCAGGTATGTCTGGACATCTGTACGGACTTCTTGTGGCCATTAACCTTACTAGTCATGTGCTCTTCTGTTATTTATGAATCATTCCTGTGAATCTTTTCATGTATGAAACATGATGACAAATCTACTCTCGCTTATGGGAGTTGGCATTTTCAGTTCTCATAGTCACGGTGCTGCTCAAGTTTGATGTTTCTAGATTTTTGCATCATAGCATATTTTCTTATATGCATTTTGTTCTTTGGGATAATTTTACAAGTCCTTTGGGTTTCTGATTGACAGAATGTATAGCATGGAGCACTACCTGCAGGTTGCTTCTATATCAAAAAAAAAAAAACTCCTGGCAATTAAAAGTGTCAGCATAGAATTCGAAATCCTAATGTTGTACTATAGCTATCCTGACACTTTGAATTATCAAGAAAAGGGATTTTTGTTGACAGATGGGATGTTATAACATCATAGTTTTCCTGACACGTTTGAATATATGAGCCTATCCCCACATTGGAAGGGACAACACTCGTCTGAGGTGTGAGGAAAAGTAAAGTGTCAGGTTAGATTATCTATACTGACACCTTTAAATGCCGTTAAAAGTCATTTTTGTTGTAGTGTGTGTGCCATTGATGAAAAAAAAAAAGAATTAGAGATGGTTTTGAAAATTCTTTTTCTCCTAACAACGGGTTTTATGCACAGAAAATTAATGTTATCACTAATCATCCAAAAAAAAAAAAAGGCAACCAAAAAGAGAATGAATCCCAAATGTCTTTTACATTTTGTCAAAACTTTTGTTGTGAATAGTGGGCATAAGGATATAGAATTTTGAACAAATTTTCAGGTATTGAATTTCTTAGTTACCAAATTATTACATAGATACTTGACATTAATTTCAGAGCCAAAAGGCGAAGAAAAAAAGTGCAGAAACTCGCAAAGTTGGATGATCGGTTGACCACAAAAATCAACTTCGGCCATGTTAGCTAAACGAAGCGATGGGATTCTAGTAAAAAAAATAAAATGCACAATTTCGATTTTACCATTTTAGTTGACATTACAAAATAGAGAAATTCTAACACCCTTTTAAGAATCACACCTTCTGCATAAATTCTCCGTTGGATGGTGAAATAATTATTTTGGACCCTTATATTATTTTGAAATAATTATTTAAAATTGTAACAACGATCGACATTGAAAAATAGAAATTGGGAAAATGATTCCTTGAAGAGACCATAGAATTTTTCAACAAACTATATAAATATGTGTTTGAGGAATGATAGTAGGCAAGATTGAAAATTGAGCCCGTTTAATATGGCATAACATCTGAAAATAATTACTCCATAGAGAAGGATCGATGAACTACTAATATAACTACTTCACCTAAAATGTTTTGCCTCCACCACTGCTAAAGCTTGTATTGTAAACCCAATTATGCCAATCAATGATATAGCAAAACAATTGTTCAAAAAAGAAAAAAAAAAAAGATTCAATAGCCCTTGAACCATTCAGATGTAAAGGTTCCAGAAACTTGTACTGTAAGATTGAAGAATGCTCATAATCATATTGTGCACGAATAAATTTTATACGGTGATGATGGGATTGCTTTATCCTTTTGCCTCTACTTTTTTTTTTTTTTCACTCTGGCAAACCGATCCTGCGACATTTGTACTTAATGATATTTCATATCAGTTTCAAGAAAAAACGTGTTGCTGCATGTTATTTCACATCATTCCGTAATTTGGTTTGAGGGATTCCTCATTCCATGATCCATCTTCTTCTACACCTCCCTACAGTTGATGCATTTATTGTTGAGTGTTCTCCTAATAGATCCCCAACCAAAAAGCATGTCGCAGTTTTATGGTTAGAAGTCATTCTGTCGATTAGCATTTTATTGATAGAATGTTTTTATTTGCCTGTCTGTGAATCTCTTATTTTTTTTAGGCTTTAGCATAGTTAACTCAATATGCTACACACACACACATACATGTGTTTGTGTCAAACTCTCATTCCATGTTCTTTTGTGGAATAAGCTTCATATGTTCAAAATGATAGAGTTGGTGTCATGTTTTCTTGTCAATTCCTCTCTTGGGACATCTATCCATCCACAAGATTTCTCTAGTGCGTCTTATCATTCCATGCGGTTGACCGGTTATTGCACGGAGCGAGATTTATCCAATATGCACTCTTGAGTAGTGACGGGGGATTTTCTTGTCAACAAGAAAATAAGTTCCATAATGTTGTATCTAGAATCAATCCTGTTCATCTTTCATAGTGACACTCAATATGTACACTCATGGATTAAAGAAATGAAAGATGAAAGTAAAGGAAACTTGGCACACACTTGAACAGGTACACATGGCGATCCCTAATCGATCAATCATGCTATGGCATGTGATCAACGAAATTAAGCAGTAGAAATGAGAAAGAGATTACGTACTCAATTTAACTACAATTATTTTGCCTACAAGAAGGAACCATCTAGATATGGTCAATCAGTAATTCGACTTTAAAAGTGTTTTGATACAAGAAATTTTTTTTTTCCCGTTCCTTTTTGGGTTTGAAAATCCAGGAACAAAACTTGGTGCGTAGGAACAGTGATCTGCATTCTAGTATTGTCCACCTCAATTTGACTTTTCTGGGTTTGAGGTGTGACAACTAACACTCCAAGTGCTTCTATTCGTTGCCGTGAGCTACAGCAATTTGTCCTTTTAGTTGGAGGTGTGACGATTGGATGTACCATTTTGTCCTTATTGAATGGCTTCACTTTGACGGACGAAGCAGTAGCACTAAAGCTGGCTGTGAGCAAAGCAACCACTTTGCAACTAAGGAAAGTGCAATTCCAAGTAACTCCTCAACCACATCCGAACTCAGAAGGCAAGTGATATTAGAGTAGTTACGCTGGTGGAAGATATTGTTCAATTGAAAGAGTTGTCTCATATGTGCTCCTTTTGTCTAGTTAATAGTGATAAGAATCATCTAAACTCTAGGATTAGCATATATGCCTTAGGCATCACAATTGATGAGGAACTCTTGTTTCCTCGGTATCAAGCTCACTAATTTGTAAAATTAACTCGAGCCTTTGCTCGTACTTGTATATGTTTTGGAAGTAATATAATCAAACATCGTTTCGAAAAAAAAAAAGAATGGCTTCACTTTCACAAAAAATAATAATAATAATAATAATGGCTTCACAGAACCATCTATTGCATCAGAAATCAGTCACTTGTCACCATTGGTGCATTGTCATTTGGCACACCGTCCATCAGTGTAACACGTTAGCTACATCCTTCAGCAATTTTGTCAAAAACCATAAGATGTAATTCACTTTTAACATAAATTAAATATAGAATAAATTTTTATGAATTCCATATGTAACGTTAAAAATGATGTACATATGATGATATGAACCTTACACTCTTTTTGATCAATCTTTGACGTTAACTATTCAAGACCGGTCATTCTCACTGACGACCGTTCTTGCTCCGCGTCTTGATGGGCAGCAAGTTTCAGTCTCTTGTCAAGGACATGACTACCGTGTAATGTTGCACTGCCACATTCTTCTGAGAAGAGAAAGCAATCATAGGACTTCTTGTTTTAGGGTAGCAATTAGAGGCTTGCAGTAGCTGGTAAACTACTTTGCAAAGAATAATTATGTCATAGGTGTTTCTTTGCATCAATTAGGATCCAAAATTGAGTGTCGACCATCAATTGGAGTTTGGAAGATACGGATCAATGTTAATTGTTGTTCCATTATGTGCAACCAAGTGGACAACTACTATAAAATAAAATATATATATTGCAAACGAATGAGATTGATCATCAAGCTTGTTTGGCCATGGTAACATCATGATCTCCAATGCACGCGTGGGACTTAAATTTTAATATTTCTTAGTGCATTGCCTTATTCTCATATCATAATTGAGAAAGTCGGCACCATTTTTTTAATGGAGAAAAGGCTAAATTCTTGGATGTTATTGCATTAATATTATATGAAATGTGAGCCCTTTTCTTATCTGATTCTAATATTCAGGACAAATATTATATGGTATATGATTCGATTAGACACTTATATTATGGTAACTTGTATCTTCATTTTCAATGATTAGAGCTGACTATTACAAAAGCATAAGAAAATATTCGTAGTTATCATTGTTTCCATATTTGTGGCTTCTTTACTGCCAATTTGAGGGTGCCTTGGCGATTATGTATGTAGTCAATCGCAGACGGAATCCTCTATCCATTATGTTTGTCCACTTTCCTATCTAATAGAAAATTACGTAGTTCCACTTACTAATACTGCTAATGTGGCACATAATATTGGATGCATATTTAGGGAATGTTTGATAAATGAGTTTCAAATTCAATTTTAATATGTACGACCTACTTTTTGAATCAACATGACCGCATGTAACTGCAACTCTAACAAGTTCAAGGATTCGTCCTCAAATGTTTGCCTAATCTCATCTGAATCATGCGGTGTGGAATTTCAAAGTAGAAGACTATGAGTACCATTGGGCATAAACAAACATCATTTATGGATATAATTGAATTTAAAACCCATTTACCAAATACCCCCTAAATATGCATTCAATAATATGTGCTACATCAGCAGTATTAGTATGTGAAACTACGTGTAGTTTTATATTAGACAAGAAAGTAAACAGATATAATGGACAGAAGATCCTATCTGAGTCAGTCGACACCTTTCAGAAATTTGGGTGGGATGTTTTTAAGTTCCATAATGATTTAAGCTTTCGATCTGGTATATAAGATAAGGAATGTCAAAACTTTTAATACCTTGTACATGCAGAACAAGTCTGCTTATATAGATGTTGTTTTTTTCTTTTTGAAGTTTTCATATAGAAAGAAGGTAGGATTCAGGAGCAGAGAAAATCAAGTTGGTTTTGAACAAATATGTGATGTTAACACAAAATATACCAATTTTTTCCTTATGAAACATTAGAAATATAGGGGATGAAGTGGACAAAAAATCATTGTTCTCCACAAATTGACTGCATATATAGGTTCAATGTAGCTACCCTCTTCTGCTGGTTGAATGGCTGCTGGATACATTGGCAAAGTCCTCCCTTTCTATATGCTTTATTGTACAAAAGGACTTGGAATTCTTGAGGGGATACGAATCTGTTCCAAAATCCAAGAAGGTGAGCAGTACTGGTTTTGGGTGCACCCACCAAACCAATTGGCCACGCAGAAAGGAAAGCAAAGATTGAACAGGAAAAGTGAGAATCTTCTTCTTCTTTGACTTGAAAAAAAAATGATAATTAATCACAGCAAAAGGCATTATTATTCACAAATGCGCCACGAACTTCAGTAATTGTCACTTGTCATGCAAAGTCTTTCTTAACAGTAGCCATCAATTATAAGAAAGGCATTTGTGACCTGACCTAAGGAGTTTCTTTAGCGGCAACTAGACAGTGGAAATGTGTGTTTTCCCCCCTTTTTTGGGATGTGCCTAATTTCCAAATTTAATTATTTGAACTGCTAAAATTTGATGTCCTTCTTAAACAACTGAGTGTACTAATCATGATTATGCACTATCAGAATTAATTAATTGTCATATCAAAGTAACAAAATGAGATGCGAAACCACACTATTATATCTATGGCTAAAATGAGATGAGGGACAATTGTATATAAAGACACCTTTTCCCTGCATCATCATGTTCGTTTTTATTTCTTTCTGTTTTCTTGTTTGGTCAAATGGAGGCTGAAGCTGGTTAATTACATAAGGTCATGACTGAGCACAATCATTAACCCTATTATGATTCTCGTTAGGCAAGAATCAAGCCTAATGTGGCTCGATTTAGACCACTGTCCCTAGCTGCATAACATGGTCCCTATAAAATACTATGTACATTGTGGTAAAGTAACCAAACAATACATGGATATTGACCATTGAGCGACAAGTTTCTTTCAGAATCAAGATTTCTTAGTGCTTTTTTTTTTTTTTTTGTTTTCTGGGGAGACGTCCGACATGGGCAAGTTCAAGAAGGTTTGCGTCTTCTGCGGAAGTAATTCAGGGTACAGAAAGATATTCAGCGATGCAGCCCTTGATCTTGGAAAAGAATTGGTTTGTTGCCTCTCTCTCTCTCTCCTCCCTTGCTCTTTTTTTGTTTCTGCTCTTTTACAAAGATATATGGATAGAGGAGCTGGCTTTGGTTTAGTCATTCAACATCAACTGATGGAGATGGTACAAAATAGGTGCAAAGAAAGGTAGACCTAATCTACGGAGGAGGGAGCATTGGTCTGATGGGATTGGTTTCCCAAACAGTATATGATGGTGGATGCAATGTTCTAGGGTATACATGCCAAATTTACTCAATTCATTCAGAGTTTAAACTTGAATCAAATCAATTGTATTTGTCATGGACTATTTAACTTCTTTGATACAACTCGTCAATACTAACTCTGCCTTTATGTCTCCTTTGTGTCTATTCTTTCTCCATATATATATAAAGAGTGATTCCAAAGGCTCTCGTTTCGGTAGAGGTATGTATGTATATCTGATTTCATTGCCATGCCAAGTCTCTCCAACCCTTTCCCACCTCCCTATATATATATATACACCTCCATCTCTTGGGTTTTCTTGGAGATAATTGGTAAGCAATTGATTAATGAGGCATGATGAGCAGATATCAGGCGAGGCAGTTGGAGAAGTGACCATAGTTTCTGACATGCATGAAAGGAAAGCTGAAATGGCTCGTAGGGCCGATGCTTTCATAGCTCTTCCTGGTATTCATCTTTCATCCTCATCCCACTTCCTGTTAATGTTTCATGCTCATCCCAATTTTTTTTTTTAAAAAAATTTTCAATATTTTTCAAGCCCTTTTCTTTACGAAAAAGTTAAACGGTTTGCGATTGAGGGTGTCATATCTAATTCCCGTTATGATCCTAAATTGATTGAGAATTTCGGAATTTTTTTTTGAACGAGTGAATTGATCAAACTTATTTGTTAACTTAACTAGCTTGGAACAATAAAAAAAAAAAGAAAAAAAACCTACTTTATAAGCATATGCATATGCTATATAGTATTAATAACTTGATAAAAAAAAATTGCTGATTTTCTGTTTTGGGTGATACTAATGAAGGAGGGTACGGAACAATGGAGGAGCTGCTTGAGATAATATCATGGTCGCAGCTTGGAATTCATGATAAACCGGTACGCATGTTTCATGTTCCAACACTTTGGCATCATTCTTGAGGGCCATTTTGAGCTAATATTTCTGCTAATCTTTCATTTGAGATTAATGATTAATTGGACCACATCACTTTATAATCCAACCTACCCTCCAATGCATAGAAAAATTGGAGAAAATGCATTTGATAAACGTAGAATGTCTCTATATATGGGAAGGAGGAATATAGAGTAATTCCATTCTAATAGTGTCAATTTGCTATTTTTGTCTTTTAGGACTTTTTTAGTGATTCATTTTGATGCTTATTATTTACAACTAACAGCTTCTATAGCCTTTTTTTTTTAAAAAAAAAAAAGAAAGGGAATAACTTCTATGACATTTAAATTAATCTTCATTGCTTCCAACTTCCTTTTATTAGAACAAAACAATGAACAATTTCTCCCAAGAGTCAAAAAAAAAAAATCAAAGGTCAAAATTTTAGTTTAAGATTCATATTTGGCTTTTTTCTAATGTTTTGTAGAATTTTGTAAATAATGTTTGCTTGGTGTTGCCGGCTATATAATATAACTCTAGGGCCTTATGGAGGATTAATGCTTAAAATGATGTAACTTGTCAAGTTGAATGGATATTTCAAGTTTTAGCTCCTTAGTTCTTTAACTAGAGTAATTAACAAAGTTTGTAATGCTTTAGAAATAGTGCATCAATTCTTCATTCCAACCTGGTTAACACTCTTCAATTATCAAATTCCCACTTTGATCTTTGAATTTCAAAATTGGACACTTTAGTCTATTAACTATAAAATCCATTCCACTTAAGTAAGACCTTTGGGGAAGTGGGATAGATTTTATACTTAAGTCAAAATATTTTAGGGACTAAAGTGAGATAACTTTTATAATTTTGGGACTAAAATTGGATATGTGTTATATTTTAAGGACTAAAGTAAAACAGATTTAATAGTTTATGGACTAAAGTATCTCGTTTCGAAATTTGAAGACCAAATAGAAATTCGAGTATAGTTGGAGGGTGTAAAGTAAAATTGATTCTTCCAACACTGGGGAACAGTGCAATCAAGCATCAAAATTCGCGCGTTTTAGCAAAGAAACCTGGTACTACGATTTCGTTTCGGTAATACTCCGCTAGCCCATTTTGATAGTCTTAATTTTTTTTATACAATTTAAGAAAAAGTAGTTAATTTTGTTGGAACAATAAATTTAGTTTGTTATTTTTCTAAAATACTCTTACATTAAATAAAGTACAACTTTATATTAACTATTCATGGAAACTTGAATTGATGATTAAGAAAGAATTAATCTCATTTTACATTATTTCACATTTTGGCTTGAAAGAACAACAAAGCTGGCTTTTCATATATCAATATGTTTTGGAAAATCTAAATGTATTAAATGGGGTAGATTAACAATCTATATTAAATAAGGTAGTTTATACTAATAACAACCTACGTACATTGAATAAGGGTATTTTAGAGAAATTAAAAAATAACTACATTTTTCAATTGGAAAGTGGACTACAATTTGGAACAGACGAAAAAGGAAAACATGACTATCAAAGTGGGATCGGAGAGAGTACCATGCATTCCTTTTATTGGTCCAAGTACCTAAAAGCCTAAGGGCTTGTTTCCAACTAATTCTAATTCTGTAAAAGTTGATTTTCTAGAACTGATTTTTAAAAATCAAATTGTTTAGAGTAAGTCATGTGTTCTCGTCTATAGTTAGAAAATGTATTTTTCTAAAAGCATAGACGTTCTTAAACAAAGTTGTAAAGCTCATTTTGACAAAAAAAGAAGACCAAATGACACTTATAAACTACACAAGTGACTTTTATGTTAATTAAATAATTTTTTATATAATTGGGCAAGAAAATGGAGAATAGGGACAAATTAATAATATGAATCTAGAGCTGCGATTGTGAATAGGAAGAAATGGTGAGAGACATGTGGCAAAAAAAGAATTATATAGTAATCTTCAAGTAGATTAGTAGTTATGTCAAAATTTAAAAGATATTTTTGTTTATATGAAAAAGTAGGCCAGAATCAACATCTAAAAGCAACTTACGACATGCTTCTGATTTTCAGATTTTTTGGACTCGAAAAATCTAAAATTAGATTTTTTAAATCAGTTGAGAACGCATCAAAATTGTTTTTTGAAAATCAAAAACTAAAATCAGTTGAGAACATGCCCTAAAACTATAATAGACGTGACCAAATCTCCAGCAGGGTTTTTGCCTCCCAATGCAAACCTATCCTTCAAGTATTAACTTTACTCTTTTTGGTTGATAAGCATCTTCCAAAGTGGCAAGTATTACGTAATTCCCATAACAGTAGTCCTGTTCGATTGCTATTAATTTTGTAAAACTTATTTCATATCGAAGTGAGTCTTGAAAATAATAATCTTCGGTATGATATGATACATACGTACGTAGATACATACATACATATATATATGTTTGTCATTTTACAGCTTAAGTGAGCGTGACAGTTGATTTTGTTAGGCCCTCTTGACTCTATTGACTCATTATATATGCACACACAATCACATACAAAAGTATGCATATTTGCAATATAACAAGAAAAATTGAGGTCAGAAGGCTTCATGTTTAGTTAGTAGTTTAGACATATGGCCTAGGCATGTGTGTACCAAATGGTCACAAGAGATTGAGGTTTAAGTAATTGCCCATGACCTAACATGTTAGTTGAAACAAACTAAACGATTCTGCTTCTTCAATAATCCAATGTAAAACTTGATGAAGAATTTTATGATGGCATTCATGAGGCCATGATGTTGTGTGCTTTAATTCATGAGGTCAGTTGAGAATTTTGATGTAAAAAACTCAGGTAGCTGTCCTTGACTTTTCTTCTACCATTATATTTATGTTTTGGTATGGCGAGTATTTTATAGTTTATACTACTATTTGGGTATAGTAGCAATAACTAATTAACGTATACCATCTAATAAGAGGGATTAATAGAATTGGTCGTATTGAATCTAAAGTAATCAAGAAAGTTTAGATGGAAACTTAAACTCATTAGTTTGCCACTTCACATAATGCTTATGATCTAACCACTAACTGGGAATGCAATGGTATCTGATATGCATGCTACATTATCTCAATTCGAATTTAAGCATCAAATTTTACATATATAACATGCATCTGAACCCGTTGATATATTTACTGACAGTGCATAAAACGTTTACTTCTGAAATTTTCCATCAAAGTTGCTCAAGGGAAATGATATCAATGGTAATTAACCAAGCACTATTGCATTCATGTATTAGAAATGGGACAATGAAAGCAAGAAATCATCAAGTGGTGTATACAGATTGCAGACTCACCTGGAAACATGATCATTGAGACATATACAGCTACTGATCCCTGGGTCCAGCTCTCTTGCCAATGGCATCATCACCTTTAACACGATCAAATGGTTAATAGGCTTGGCTGCTGACAATATTTTCGAGTCTAGAATCCAAACTTGGAGCTTCAGAAAATTTTTCCACCACCGGAAGCAGCTACGTTTGTCCCTGCACAAGAAATATATGGTGGGCTTATACCTAAAAAGTTTGAAGATTTGTCTAACTACCCATAAAAGCACGGAGCATTTATATGTAGCAGGAGTATATATATCTACTTCCAATTGCATTGCATGATTTTTTGTTTTGGCTTTTGATTGACCGGTAGTTTCCCAGTATCTTTACCGGATTGCTGTTGAAGAAATTAGTATGGCAAAGGTGGACTAACCGAACGTTCTAACCCCCAAGGCTACCGATCCATACGACAAATAAGTTACCAACCTGTCTTTGATGTACATATGCATGCCCTATCGGAACAGGTCTTCCAATTAGTTTCAAAGCATTAACTCTTGTGGAGAATTGATGGTGGAAATTGTAGTCTATCTCTGTTCAATATCTAGACTTCTAGTTTGTCAAAAAAAAAAAAAAAAAATCTAGACTTCTAATTAAATTATCATCATTGTACACAAAATACTTTGAGATGTATGCTAATTCTTCCATTTTGTGACTATACAAAGATAGAGGAGTAAACGAATCTAATCAACTCGAATACCCTAGTATTTAAACTTATTTGATTATTTTAACAAGATTGAAATTTTGTTAAGTTTTACTTGTTTAGTTGTTGAATCGAGTTTGAACGAGTTCTTTTTTGAGTTTGAAAGTTATCGAACACAAAAAAATAAAGAGTTCAATGCTGACTTGAAACTCTTATCAATTCGAATTCGATTCGAATACGGAATAGTTTGATTTACCTTTCGGTCGTGCAAAAATGTATGAACGACATTCGACGCGTTCAACAAGCTACATCGGTATACTTGTGGTACTAAACAGTACTAGGAATATACGTATGGTACCCAACAAAACAACATCCGATACTCATTACTTCTAGTGGATGAAAATTTCCCTTCAAGCATTGAGAATTTTCCTTGGGTTTTTATAAGTCGCTGATAATGATATACATTGAATACGAAAAACGTTCATATCATGCTTCTTAGTCATTGTCTTTAGTATTCTAAACAACGAGCTCATTTCTTTTTCCTTTTTTGTCTGGGGAGGAAAGGGGAGGGGGCGCAAATTCAATTAAAGAGTTATAAAAACAAGAGTATTTTAGCTGTAAAAAGAAATTGACAGATTCCATATCTTAAGGTTTTAATTCCAAAAAACCCCATTGACATACATTTATTTGTCTTTCAATATTTTCTCAATGAAGTCAAGAAGCCCAAATGAATATCAAGTTGTGAATGAAATATTCATGTGTGCCATTGATGGAAAAAAAAAAGAATTAGAGATGGTTTTGAAAATTCTTTTTCTCCTAACAACGGGTTTTATGCACAGAAAATTAATGTTATCACTAATCATCCAAAAAAAAAAAAAAAGGCAACCAAAAAGAGAATGAATCCCAAATGTCTTTTACATTTTGTCAAAACTTTTGTTGTGAATAGTGGGCATAAGGATATAGAATTTTGAACAAATTTTCAGGTATTGAATTTCTTAGTTACCAAATTATTACATAGATACTTGACATTAATTTCAGAGCCAAAAGGCGAAGAAAAAAAGTGCAGAAACTCGCAAAGTTGGATGATCGGTTGACCACAAAAATCAACTTCGGCCATGTTAGCTAAACGAAGCGATGGGATTCTAGTAAAAAAAATAAAATGCACAATTTCGATTTTACCATTTTAGTTGACATTACAAAATAGAGAAATTCTAACACCCTTTTAAGAATCACACCTTCTGCATAAATTCTCCGTTGGATGGTGAAATAATTATTTTGGACCCTTATATTATTTTGAAATAATTATTTAAAATTGTAACAACGATCGACATTGAAAAATAGAAATTGGGAAAATGATTCCTTGAAGAGACCATAGAATTTTTCAACAAACTATATAAATATGTGTTTGAGGAATGATAGTAGGCAAGATTGAAAATTGAGCCCGTTTAATATGGCATAACATCTGAAAATAATTACTCCATAGAGAAGGATCGATGAACTACTAATATAACTACTTCACCTAAAATGTTTTGCCTCCACCACTGCTAAAGCTTGTATTGTAAACCCAATTATGCCAATCAATGATATAGCAAAACAATTGTTCAAAAAAGAAAAAAAAAAAAGATTCAATAGCCCTTGAACCATTCAGATGTAAAGGTTCCAGAAACTTGTACTGTAAGATTGAAGAATGCTCATAATCATATTGTGCACGAATAAATTTTATACGGTGATGATGGGATTGCTTTATCCTTTTGCCTCTACTTTTTTTTTTTTTTCACTCTGGCAAACCGATCCTGCGACATTTGTACTTAATGATATTTCATATCAGTTTCAAGAAAAAACGTGTTGCTGCATGTTATTTCACATCATTCCGTAATTTGGTTTGAGGGATTCCTCATTCCATGATCCATCTTCTTCTACACCTTCCTACAGTTGATGCATTTATTGTTGAGTGTTCTCCTAATAGATCCCCAACCAAAAAGCATGTCGCAGTTTTATGGTTAGAAGTCATTCTGTCGATTAGCATTTTATTGATAGAATGTTTTTATTTGCCTGTTTGTGAATCTCTTATTTTTTTTTAGGCTTTAGCATAGTGAACTCAATGTGCTACACACACACATGTGTGTGTTGAACTCTCATTCCAGGTTCTTTCGCTGAATAAGCTCTGTAGGTGTTTTTGAGTTGATCAAGATGGTAGATTTGATATTACGCCTTCTTATTAATCTTGATTCGAATCTTACCTGTGACATCTGCCCGTCACACAGAGTTTGTCTAGCATGTCTTATTCTCCGTGTGATTGGTGGTTGGTGGACTATTGCTCTTTGTAATTGGTGGATTATTGCACGGGACGGAATGTAACGCGGGTTCTCTTGTTAAAAAAAAAGAAGCTCCATAATGTTATTGTATCTAGAATCAATCCTGTTCATCTTTCATAGTGACACTCAATATGTACACTCATGGATTAAAGAAATGAAAGATGAAAGTAAAGGAAACTTGGCACACACTTGAACAGGTACACATGGCGATCCCTAATCGATCAATCATGCTATGGCATGTGATCAACGAAATTAAGCAGTAGAAATGAGAAAGAGATTACGTACTCAATTTAACTACAATTATTTTGCCTACAAGAAGGAACCATCTAGATATGGTCAATCAGTAATTCGACTTTAAAAGTGTTTTGATACAAGAAATTTTTTTTTTCCCGTTCCTTTTTGGGTTTGAAAATCCAGGAACAAAACTTGGTGCGTAGGAACAGTGATCTGCATTCTAGTATTGTCCACCTCAATTTGACTTTTCTGGGTTTGAGGTGTGACAACTAACACTCCAAGTGCTTCTATTCGTTGCCGTGAGCTACAGCAATTTGTCCTTTTAGTTGGAGGTGTGACGATTGGATGTACCATTTTGTCCTTATTGAATGGCTTCACTTTGACGGACGAAGCAGTAGCACTAAAGCTGGCTGTGAGCAAAGCAACCACTTTGCAACTAAGGAAAGTGCAATTCCAAGTAACTCCTCAACCACATCCGAACTCAGAAGGCAAGTGATATTAGAGTAGTTACGCTGGTGGAAGATATTGTTCAATTGAAAGAGTTGTCTCATATGTGCTCCTTTTGTCTAGTTAATAGTGATAAGAATCATCTAAACTCTAGGATTAGCATATATGCCTTAGGCATCACAATTGATGAGGAACTCTTGTTTCCTCGGTATCAAGCTCACTAATTTGTAAAATTAACTCGAGCCTTTGCTCGTACTTGTATATGTTTTGGAAGTAATATAATCAAACATCGTTTCGAAAAAAAAAAAGAATGGCTTCACTTTCACAAAAAATAATAATAATAATAATAATGGCTTCACAGAACCATCTATTGCATCAGAAATCAGTCACTTGTCACCATTGGTGCATTGTCATTTGGCACACCGTCCATCAGTGTAACACGTTAGCTACATCCTTCAGCAATTTTGTCAAAAACCATAAGATGTAATTCACTTTTAACATAAATTAAATATAGAATAAATTTTTATGAATTCCATATGTAACGTTAAAAATGATGTACATATGATGATATGAACCTTACACTCTTTTTGATCAATCTTTGACGTTAACTATTCAAGACCGGTCATTCTCACTGACGACCGTTCTTGCTCCGCGTCTTGATGGGCAGCAAGTTTCAGTCTCTTGTCAAGGACATGACTACCGTGTAATGTTGCACTGCCACATTCTTCTGAGAAGAGAAAGCAATCATAGGACTTCTTGTTTTAGGGTAGCAATTAGAGGCTTGCAGTAGCTGGTAAACTACTTTGCAAAGAATAATTATGTCATAGGTGTTTCTTTGCATCAATTAGGATCCAAAATTGAGTGTCGACCATCAATTGGAGTTTGGAAGATACGGATCAATGTTAATTGTTGTTCCATTATGTGCAACCAAGTGGACAACTACTATAAAATAAAATATATATATTGCAAACGAATGAGATTGATCATCAAGCTTGTTTGGCCATGGTAACATCATGATCTCCAATGCACGCGTGGGACTTAAATTTTAATATTTCTTAGTGCATTGCCTTATTCTCATATCATAATTGAGAAAGTCGGCACCATTTTTTTAATGGAGAAAAGGCTAAATTCTTGGATGTTATTGCATTAATATTATATGAAATGTGAGCCCTTTTCTTATCTGATTCTAATATTCAGGACAAATATTATATGGTATATGATTCGATTAGACACTTATATTATGGTAACTTGTATCTTCATTTTCAATGATTAGAGCTGACTATTACAAAAGCATAAGAAAATATTCGTAGTTATCATTGTTTCCATATTTGTGGCTTCTTTACTGCCAATTTGAGGGTGCCTTGGCGATTATGTATGTAGTCAATCGCAGACGGAATCCTCTATCCATTATGTTTGTCCACTTTCCTATCTAATAGAAAATTACATAGTTCCACTTACTAATACTGCTAATGTGGCACATAATATTGGATGCATATTTAGGGAATGTTTGATAAATGGGTTTCAAATTCAATTTTAATATGTACGACCTACTTTCTGAATCAACA